TTCTTTTCCAAGCCAAGCCCATTTTCCCCTTGATCTCCCTACCTTAACTCAACCCATGAGGGTTTTTTCTTATTCTTTTCTCCCCCAGTCCTCTTGAGGAGGGTGAGTGAGAGAGTGACTGGGCAGACACTTGGCAGCCAGTCCAGGTCAACCTGCCACAAGGTGTTTGACAGTGGCCATCTCACAATCAGCAGCAAAGCAGGAAGCAAGTGCACAGGAGAAATACGCACCAGACATGGAGCCCGTACAAGTTAACAGGTTGTGTGTTACACTTATTCACTGATTTTCCTTGTAACATTTCATCCAGTATCACCTAATGAAATCTGGTGGTATCAAAACCACAGGGCAGGATGACAGGTAAGCCTCCGATACAAACTCCATCTTTGGGGCACTGTGTTTCCCACAATAACCCTACAAATAGGGCATGCAGGGAGGATGACAGGAGATGACTGCAGAACTACACAAAATAGCAGAATTGTAGACAGCTTCTTCTGTAATCTTACTCTAAGAAAAGGAGTGAATTCCCACATAGTATTTTATTCATCCCTGCGATGACAGAATCAAAGGAATACCATCAATGGGTGCCAGGAGAGCATTTTAATCTCTCCAGAAATGAGATTGAATGTTCTTAATGGTGGACATTCGGCAAACTGACCAACCACAGGGGCTACTGATGTGTCCTACTAGTTTATGTTTCCCAGACACGGTCTTTGTTGTATGTGGATTACCAGGCATGTCAGTAAGGCCACACAAGTGCAAGCAGGTGAGACCTCTAGGCCAAGCAGAGGTTACAAATTAAGATGTGATGATGCAACATCAACATGCTGATGCAATGCAAAAAATCTCATCACAGCTGCTAGGGAAACAGTTATCATTTCCAGTTACCTGCTGACAAGACAGAATGGAGCAAGGGGAATTAACAATAATTGGAGAAAATCACGAAGGATGTGCCTAAATCAACAGCCATACAGTCCTTTTATGCCAAGTGTTGCCAGATTTGTAGCAGTCATTTTCCCCCTTGTCAGAAGTGACAGGCTTAACCCTACAGTCAATATTAATGTGAGGGCAATGCTGAAATGAGTCTAATGAGAATTGCACTCATCCCATTCACAGGACGCTGAAAGAGCAAACAAGGACCATTTCCTACTCTTCCAATAACATCTATTCTTAAAAGCCTGAGGAAGTTCTCCAGTCACAGACATTGATAGCAATAAACACCACAAACTTAACCGAAAAATTTTTTCAAATTTACCCAAAAGGTTTTAAGATTTGATAACAGCCTTTTCAATTACTGTTTAGAGATATGCTTTATAATAGTCTTTATTGAACTTGTTTCATTCAGACCAAAACAGTAATCAAAGTAACTTAAATAAAGCTACCTCCTTTACTGTTTTAACATTTAATCCCAGTTTTGAGTCACATGAACTGTATGCACTCAACAGACAACAATTTCTATTGCTTACTGATATACAGCAGGGAAATGCAAATAATTTATATTGTATCTATTAGTGTGCTTTTTAGAATGATCCTATAAATCACACCTACTGCTTCAGGCAAAGTTGCTGCATTTCAGTTCCTACTCTTGTAGGAAAATGCTGAAAGTAGGAAAAGCACAGCTGAAACCAAGAACAAGGAGGTACATGAGTCACATTCTTCCCTAATGTCCAAGATTGGAGAAATTCAAGGAAGAACAAAAGTCAAACTATGAGCGAGCAAAAGAACCCACTCAAAAATAAACAAACAAAAAACCACCCAAAAATAAACAAACAAACTCACCCCCCCACCCCCCCCTCCCAAATAATTAGCCTAATTTATTTAGCTGGATAAAGGGGCAGCAGGCAAACCACTAACCCAAATGGTGACCCACCATGGCAGCTGCCAACAATCAAAACCAGAAAATCAGACTGTACAGCACCATCCTGATAGAAACTGGGTTGATATGCCTTTACAGGGTTAGTCTCTGTGCATTTGAGCAACATGCCAAAAAGAGCCTTATAGAATTTAGCAGCTGCAGCAAAGTAGGAGATCTCAGTGGGTTTAAGAAAGAAAACAAAGTATTTCAACTCAGGGTGAGACTATATTAAGGCAACATAAAAATAACTGTATCCAACTACAGTGTAAAAACACAACTTTAGCATTAAAAAGTTTTCCCGTGCAGTTTCTCCACACCTTAAATATATTCACCTCCAATAAAATGAGAAGCAAATTTAAAACTACATGGACACACCACTGTACAATTCTGGAAAAGGAACTTAGTTTTAAAAGCTCTTTCAGCAGCTATCACATATTTATCAAACTAACCACTGTGTCACTTTAAGGCTCTGGCAGATTTATACAGATGTTAAGAAAGAGAACTTCGATTTATTTTAGACTCCTAGCCTGAAATATTGCTTACTTTGTAAGAACAGAAACGTCAATCAATAAGAAAACTTCTCACCTTTTGAAGTTCTCAATCTTAAACTATGTGCTTATATGACAGATTAAAGTTTTCTCACAATTTTATTTAGGAATAAAATTGTGCTCCCCTGATTACAAAGGTCAGCTTAGAGCTTACCAACTATTATGTCATTCTTTCAAGCATGCAAAGAAAATAGTTTGAAATGTAAAGAAACATCCACCAAATCAGTTTAAATCACTGCTCTGCATCTGTATGTAGAAATGTGTATGTATATCCATTCAGTCCAGTTCCACACATATTTAAAAGATTTATGTTATAATACATATCCTTACTTTAGTCTATTTGTATCTGAAAGACAGGATGTTTAAATGCAAAGTATTATTCTCTAGCTATCTTCTTCTAAAGTACTTCCAATTCACTTGATTTTAACATCACCTCCCATCACCACCTGTCTTGTCCCATTTAATTGTGCTCAAATTGAGAAAAAAAGTCTCAAATCCTTCAAACAACACAGAATGTCTAAGCAGCACAAGATTATCCAGTTGCCAGTTTCATTATTTGTTCAAGCAGAGTAGGAAGAAAATACACTTGTTTAGGAAGAAAGTCTGTTTGTGTAAGCAAATATTTTAATATTCTACTAAACATCAGCAAAAAAAAAAAAGCCCCTTTAATATGCATCAAAACAAATATCTTTTAAAAGCAAATAAAATATTTAAGTGATGCATTCCTTTCCTAGTATCTGGTCTACACTAAAATAAAACCACAGCCTGATGAGGCCAACGGTAGTTTTCCTCACAGGAGTAACCAAGTTTCCATTAATGAAAAGCGATATTTAAGTTTGCCTTCAAACAGTTTAGCCAACGTGCAGACAGCCTTAAAAAGAACATAATGCTGAATTAGATGGTATTCACCTTTATCTGAATCAGAGGTACAAAGATAAAGAGACAAACAACTTTAATTCAAAGAACTTGCACCCCTTCTGCTTCTTGATAGATCAGAGCAGGCTCAGCTGCAAACAGTAACGGAAGAAAAAGAATGGATTAATTTGAAGATAGTGGACTTCAGGGATCCTAACTAATAAAATAGTTATTCTTTTCAGAGAGATGGTAGAAATGAATCAGACTACTGCAGTTTCACAGCAATAATGAAGAGCTGCTTGAAAAGATCTGAATACGTAATAGTTAAAATTTTATGGAGTTACTGGGCGCATCCCTCTGCAGACTGGCTTCCCCTCAGCCCTTCTTTTCTAAAGCATGCCTCCATCATCTTAAAAGTTTATTTCAAAGGTTTCTAGTTAGTGTAGCAATAATACCGTTCTAAAAAAAAAGACGACCTGGGGAAATTCTCCCTTAAACAAAGATTAATGTACAATAGAGCAAAATATTCTAAGCAAGAATACTCACAGGGTGGATTTATTTTGTGTATATTACTCCAGGAGTTCTCATCAGAATAAGTAAAATTGAAATGAAGGATCATAGAATAGGAACAACAGAAAACGAAAAAAGAAATATCCTTAGCATTTTTATTGAAAAATTTCAGATTTAACTGAACACTTTGTGGGTTTTTTAAATAGTTTTTTGGATTCTGAAGAGAATGAATGCAAATTTTACAAACAGAAAAAAACAGATGAGAACAAATTTTATTATTGCTATCAATGGTTTTTGCAATGTTGCCTAGAAACACAGATTCAAATCAGAGGAGCAGCATGGCAAACACTGAGGAAAAAAATCCATAAAAAATGCCCAAACAGAAAGCCCTAAAGACCCCAACAAACATAACTACTGAAAAAAACCCACACCTCCCATTTTTTTTCACCTTATTAAACTGAACTTGTACTTTTCAATAATTCAGCAGTCCAAGGGAATAAGTTAATATTCAGTCTTGATGGAAAATACACAACACAAAATGCCATTGTATCTTTTGATTTTTTGATTGTTTCATTTCTGCTCGTGTGACAAAAACAATAAAAAAATTGTATTTGATGTACAAGATCTCATAATGTATCATGAAAACAATAAATATCTCAAAACCTTACACCTGTCATAGGAATGGTTTGTCTTAAATCCCAATTCTAAGATGGTTCTCTTGTAAGTGAAGTTCTGGTCTAGCCCAAAGCTCTGGCCTCGGCAGAGCAGGAAGAAATTCAAAGCATGTCCAAGCAGGCTGAGTACCCAGCTGCTTAAAGGCATCATTTTTCTTTTCCTTTTTTTTTTTTTTCTTTATCCAGATTGATCAAACCCATTCTTGTTGTTTAACAGAAACAACCAACCACATACTGACTTATCAATGGCATGTGCTTTTCGAGAAGTGAAGACCCACACTTAGAAAATTGTTGGGAATTCCAAAAAATGCAAAATCTCTAGAAATGAAAATTTTCCTCATCACATAGAATGATGGCATAAACCTTTTAAGGCTGGAAACAATCCTTTAGCCAAGAGCCCATCATGTTCCCAGAACCTCAGAGGAAGAGCAGTTTTTGCCTTAGATTATATCCATTCAAGTTATCAGCAGGTGTGATCAATGTTTCTGCACCAAAGTATGTTCTTCCCATTTTGGGGAAAGTATGTTCTCATTTTAAACACATTTTACTCGTGCATCATACCTGGAAAACTGTTCTTGCAGTCCACGCATCTGAGCCCGGCTCCGCTCCGACTCCAGTGTCACCTCCCGTAATCTTTTTTCACTCTCGAGTCTCAAATGTCTTTCTTCCTCCAACTCATGTATCAGCTTCTCACGCTGAAATATCACAAGAAGTTACTTATTTAATTATACGCATAAAACACACTTTTAGGAAAAATTAAAGATTAATTTAGGAAAAATCATTAAAAAAAATCAAAACAATGACCCTGACAGTCCAGTCCCATCAGTTTTCTACAGAAATCTTACATAGAGATAGAAAGTTTCATTTTATATTTCAGAATATCCCATCACACTGAGCTACCCTTACAGATGTCAGCATACTGAAAAGCAAACACCCACCCACTCCTTCCAGGTTCTTTTTCTTCACCTCCATTCAAAACAAATGTAAAAATTATATTTGAGACCTGCGATCACTCTTGCTTGAATGCAGACATGGGAAGCATGAAACGAGTCAAAAGGACAACTTGTACCCATCCCTTAATGTTTCAACCTCGCGGGCAGGAAAGGACTTGACTCTGCAGCCACTTGTTTTCTTGTTTTGGCTGAGAGGAGGATCCCTACCAGCAGGACAGAGTGTATTTGAATCTGTTTACTGAAATACTATGGCAATTAATGTGTTTTTAAAAGCTTAGTACCAATCAAATGAATATGAAAGCGATAAAAGTGTCATTAATTTCACTAACAGTTCTCAGAAGCAAATAGCATATGGGTGTTGCTAATTCTTAAAACATAGGACCAAAAAACCCAACCTAAAACTTACAGCACTACCTGGATAAATATACATATATGTATATGTGTCATGGCCTATTTTTTTTTTCTTGTAAACAAAGAACATCATATAAAAGGGTAGCTAAAGAGTTTAAAGCCCTCTTCCAAAAGTAGGTAAATGTAATTAAAGAGAAGTAGTGGAATTAACTTAAAAGTTATAAAAAAATGCTACTGGAATTAAAAAATGTATGTACAGCCTTTTCCATGTGACCCTGTTAAACGGAAAGGAAATTAATTTAATTTTTTCCTTGTGAATTTAAATGGGATAACACATTAGTTAAAAAAAAAACCCAAGCATTTTAAGTGGTACTACATTATACTCAGTCAGCAATGGGGTTCCAACATCTAATAACAGGTAAACCATTGGAAAGCTACAGTGGGTTCACCACCTGTATACTTTGTGCCTATAGTGCAGGGCAATTTGTAGCCTGTCAGACAGTCTGACATAGTTCCATTGCTGACCTAAATTTTCATGACACACCTGCAAAAATTTATATAGAAATTACACATACAGCTTCATTAGTAAATAACAAAGGTATCTCAGTGTTAAGCCATTAAACGGGGGAGACAGGTTATTTGTACAAATCTCACAGCTATAAATCTTTCTGGATAATAATTTACAATAGCAGTAACCAAGGGACCAAAAATATGAACATTACCAAGTAGAAAACAGATCCTAAAGACAGTGATAAATAAGCAGATGCCACAAAGGGAGGCTGCAAAGGTTTAAATGAAATATCTGTATGCTTGTGAAAAAATGGGGGGAATTACTCAGAGAACAGAAGGGTTCTATCTGGTTGGCCATATGTAATACCTGGAAAATGCCCAAGAAACAAAATCCTGGCAAAAAAAATACATTGTTCTAACTAAATTATCTAATTATTGTCCTTTGTGTTATATAACCATGTCCTACACGGTGCTGAGTAATCCTTGGTTTCTGCCACAAGAAGTAGAGCAGAGTGTTCAGCGCCCGGCAGAAGATACACAGCAGCCCTACAGAGGATAACTCAAGGCTAATGATATGGGAAGAATATTCACAGCAGTCAGTATTTCTCCAGCTCAGATCCCATCAGTGCCAGCTTCAAACTTATACTGCTCCAGAGGCTCTTGCTGAAGACTGTTAGCATCTTGTCTTATACAGGAATTTCACTGCTGCTAAAGAGATATCTAGAGCTCCCAGAGGTAGCAAGGAAAATGGCATAAAAGAAGTATATAATTACCACCCAGGACTTAAGAAAAGCTCTCAGAAGATACTGGTGTGTACAGAAACTGGGCTTGAAACCAAATATGCAAGCTTCCCTACAGAAACTGTTTCCTTTGGAGGAAACTCAGGTACTGCTATGAACACATGAGTGGCTGAGTTGACTCAAAGCATCAGGCTGTGCCTGACATACCTGTCACAGTAACAGCTTAACTGTGACAATGGACTGAGGACCAGAGATTCAGCCATGCCTTCAACACTCGTTCAGTGTCACTGCAGCCACAATGATCTTCTGATACAGCAACTACCTCTCTATGCGGGTTATGCTGACCACGCTCTGCTCCTCAAATAAATCTTCCTTCTACATTATGTGCAAAAGCAGATCTCCGTGGGGTGAGAGAGACAAAAGGGGACACTTTGGAAAGAAAAGGAGTATCCTCTTCTCCATCTCATTGCCAGGGTGTTTGCAAGGTGCTCACAGCCCCTGCCTGTCCTGTGGAATGAATGTGCAGCACCTCCATGCACGGCTGCGCGCCTGCTGATCACAAACCCACACTTTCTAGTAAAGCACTGGCTATATAAGACCAAACTTTCCCCTACAGGTCACACAGCTATGTAAGCTATTTCTTGGTTTCATTTACCTCTTGGTGATAGGTCAGAGAATGTTGCTGCTACCATTTACTCCTTCTATTCATGTGTGGAAATCTGTATTATCATCACACAAAATGATCAGCACATCCACATGGGCTTTCTTGAGTTTTTCTTAAGAAGAAGGGATGTAGGAATTACCTTAAGGAAAGTACTCTTAAACCAGCAACAAATTCACATTACAAGAACAATAATATTACAAAGATTAAATCCCTAAACACTGGGAATTTCTGGAATGAGTTAAATGCCCAGTTCCAACTCAGCCACCTCAAGGGTAAGCATCACAACACAGTTTTTGTTATATGATGACATACTGTTGCTGTACAAAATTCAGGCTCCTTTCACGATAAGGGATGAACAATGTACAAGGCATAAAGCTACAAGACCAGAAAGGTCAAGTCATAAGTCTACACTGGCCTATGGCCCTGAAATTCTGGATTCTCTTCCCAGCTACCAAAACCTTCCTGTATGAATGGAGCAAAGACTTGTCCACAGGAAAACTGCACAGCGACACCACCACTGGCCTTCACTTTCATGATTCTACACAAGAATTTATCGGCAATCTTGTGGCACTTTTGCCCTTTCTTGCAGGCAGAAAGCAGATCTGCTTTCAGCCAGATCACAGACATTCAATAAAGTGGGGAGAAAAAGGAGTAAGAGACCACCCACACTTGGGGTGTCTCCAGGACACAAAATACTCACGTACACTACACAGAGAAAGTATCTCCCAGCAGTAGTGACCTTATCTACCAGAAAAGAGAACATTTTTATTCAAACCCAGAAAAGCCATAATGAAGTGTCAGAAGAGAAAAGTGAGTGTAATGTACAGAAAGGCCAGGATTAAACCGGGATTTTTTTGTCTCCTGGAAGAAGAAAACATATCCTTGAACTCTGCAGAAATTTTGCGCTGTCATAATGCCCTTTATAAGCTCCTCTCTGCTAACCCCACTTTATTCCTGAGAAAAATAAAGGTGTGTGAAAAGAAATGAATGTAGAACCAGTTCAAGGTTTTATAGTGAATATAAGCTTAACAGGAAGTGCCATGGGAAGAAAAGGTTAAATAAAAAAAGTATCATGTGAAATGCATCAGTTCCTTTTAACACCAGAAAAATCATTGCCATCTTCCAGTGAAGTTATGTGTTCCCTCTTGCCAATTCCTCTTTAATTGCAAGTTCTTCTCTCCATGAGCTCTGCTCAAAGTATTTTCCCCTGCTTTCTCTCCTTGCCTTCTGCGGCACAGCTGTACCCTTCTCCTATTAGAAGCATAACCTTTACTTCATTCTTCCTTCCTCTTTTCAGTGTCTCCAGATAGTCTTACTTTCATCACATCACCCGGTCAAATTTCTGATAACTTTCCAAACGGGTAAAAATTTTATGTAAACAAACCAGAGAGAAAAGGCAGGGTTAGTAAACTGTACCGATCCTTTTGTGCAAGCACCAGAATATTTTAACATTGAGCAAATACTATTTGCAATTACTTTTTCAAGAACATTTCAGCAATCAAGTTTCACCAGCTACTCATTATGCTCGTGAGCCAGCGTTTGCACTTCAGCGAGCTCCTTTTTGTGTAGCTGTAGAAATGTTCGTGTCAAAATGTTTCATTTCTCATCCAGTCGGGGACATGTACCACACATTAAGTCATCTTCTCAAAGTTAAGGAAGGAATCCAATTTGAGATATTCACGATCAAAACAAAACGCATGAAAACTATTTATAACTAGATTGAAAATAACACATCCATTTGACAGCAAAATATGATTTGTTCTTCGGCACCCCATGAAGAGACCAAGAGACAACACTTATTCTCAGAGTTACTGGTTAACAGCCACGCTCTTGGTCTAAGGACTGACCCCCCGTGCAGCCACACAAGAGTCTTCAGAGGAACTCAACCATTTATGTCTCCTTTAACTCCCTTGGGATGTGTCACAAATGTCAGCACATGGTTCTTTCATATTTTACCAAACTGCAAATGTCTTGTCTGTTGAGTGAGGAGACACGAATGAGGATGGGGCGGGTGGCAGCCCAGGGAGGCAGATGGTAGCACATGGTGCATAACGGGCCACTCGCTTCTGAACAGTCTGACATCCAGCACACAGAGCGAATGTGTGGCACATCAAGGTTTTTTATGGAAAGCCTGCCATCTTACCATTTCATTCTTTCAGGGTTATTTTGTTGTTAACTTTATATCTAGACATGGATGACACTCAAGCCTGCCAAGTCAGGGACTTGGAGTTTTACCTCCTTTACCTGTCACTGCAGGTAATATCAGCAGATGTTTCATCAGAATGGTAGGACCAACTCCACGAAATACTTTCTCCCCAGAAGGGTCAAGGGTTTCAGTAACTCAAGTAGTTTCTCACTCTAAAACCCTCCAGACCCCACATTTTGTTGGACCTGCCTCTTTCCCTTCCACAGTGCTGATGACCTCATGCCCTCCCTATTAAAGCTGTTTAGCCAGTAGCTTGTTCCTTGCTGTCTTT